CGTGCGCGCGCGTGTGTGTGTGTGTGTGTGACACAATGCACAAGGCGTGGGATACACTACCTACTGCACTGATAGAGAGACTGATTCCAGATAGACCCCCGATTCCAGTACATACAAGTATCCTGTCACCAAAATCCTGCTCCAGTTAGAACCAGTAACCAGAACTAGTAACCCATTCCTACGCTAGAACAAGGACTACCGCGTGTAAGTAGATCTTGTGGACTTTTTTCTCATCAATCTGCTGAGAAAAACTCTTGCGGATTGTCAATTTGGAGATGTGGACGAACTTTTGCTCCATTTGCATAGCCCTCCTCGACGAAAACCTTCATCCAATGGCTGTCCGGTTCTCCTCCAAACTCACCACGGATTGTGGCGAAGAGACTGTGGAAAACTAGCTGCCGTTTATGACGACCGTGTATGATAATGAGACCACCGACCGTCGTACTGAACTGCATTACCCACAACTCTCTAGACTCCTCTATGATTCTCTGCTGCACACATTCCTTCTCGTTTAGCACCAATCTCGTTTCCGAGCGTGAAATCACAAAAGGCGCATCTGTTCTTAAAGACTGAGGACGCTTCTTGTTTTTTTACGTTTATTTTTCTGTAATAATCTCAGTTACGGGAAAGGTAATCTTCACTATTTACAAAGAAATGGAACTGTTTTCCATGTAAAATGTACAGATTCCCGATATTGCATATGATCCTATGCGTTTCATGTTTTTTGACCTATTTTGCCCCTTGTATGTGTTTTTGTAGACTAGACCAATCCACAATGCTGTGTTGGTCCTCCAAAATACTATCCCTTATAACGCACAGCACACACGCGCACACATATCTACATACACACGCATACACACTCTCATTTGGAAGGATGACCATGGCCTCCTCCTTTTTTTTCTTTTTCTTTTCCAAATGCAACACTTCGTCATTCTCACTGTGTCGATGATAACCAAGAGACTCTGGAGAAATGACTGTTGTGTGATTGACAGCTATTACAGATGGGATCCCAATGATGCTGGAACGTCGTCGTGCCATGAATTCAAGTGCGATTTTGAATTCTAGCGCGCATACTTTGGATGCAGGTTGAAGAATTCCAGTTTATTGAAATTCCAGTCATACATGTTGACACAGCTAAAATTGTTCTCTCAGGCTAAAAGATGGTCTATTATTGTGACGATTTCAAATATCGAGTTGTGTTTTTAACTTAAGGCTAGCGGGATGTGAATTGGAACAAGTCCGAGCAAATAAAAGTGTGAATCATCATTACGAATCATATGTAAACACATAAAATAACCGTGTAAAGAACAGACTAGAAGGATAGGACTTTAATGGAGTGGTTTGGAAGATGGAAACAACCTTGTAAAGGTCGATTTCTGAAACTACTGTTTACTTGTTCTCAAACTGAGACTCTCTGTAGCTTGCACATCTATCCCTTGTTAACCCACCCTGAGAAAATCGACTGCATATTTATTCCTGTGATTCAGTCTTGTTTTTTAATTTTCCAACAGATCAGAAACGTAGGATCTTAGAGAGCATCAGGAAAAGAATTGGATCGGCACTGAGACCTTTTTTATTGCTATTATCATCAATATTATTATTATTACAATATCGATGAAATTATTATTTATTCTTTTCATATGCATTCTAAACTGAATGAACTCATAACTAATATTTGTTGTAACAGTGAAAGTTGTTTGCCAACAAATAAAATGACTGAATTAATATTTACAATATTTCACAAGGGAAAGGTGTGTTTCTGCTTCTTTTTTTTTTTTGCCTTTTAATTAGATTTTTCAATTATAGAGTGACACTTTCAACAGGACGAGGAACGGTCATGACTCCTCTGGGCAGTTTTTCAGGGAAGGATTGTCATGGAGTAAATTGTACTGTGGATTGTGATTCTCTGTTGAAAATCCTTTTGGACTAGACTTAATCTCTGTCTGGGAAACCGGCCGGAAGACTTTAACAGTCAGCCTCTTTCTATACTGACCCAGTTTCTGTACCGGCACCAATCAAACGAGCACGGTACCAATTAATTATGCACATCTGAGAAGAGCGCCAGCACAAACAGTGTAATTACGACCTATTGATTTTTATGTCTTTCCATGCAAACAGACACACGTCCGTCTGCAAACACGCCCAAATGTCAGACAGCCTGCGCGTGTGAGTATGTCTGTGAGAGTTCGCTCTGCCAAATGTTACCGCTTTCATGAATATTTATAGGCCGTTTTGACAGGCACTTGAGCATTTTGAAAGGAAGGAAAGATGCAGCCTCCCTTCGCCCCCCAAGCAGACCATATAGCTCCACACTCTAGAGCCCTGCCCTGCCTTTGACATGAGTATAGTGTGTGTGTGTGTGTGTGTGTGTGTGTGTGTGTGTGATCCTGCCTTTGACATGAGTATAGTGTGTGTGTGTGTGTGTGTAGGCAGCCAATGAAATTGAAAAGTTGTTATTTAAAGAAAGAAACTGTTCACCGTTCAAACTTCTATCCATCCACAACTACAGCCTAGATACCACTCAACTGAGAAGACGAAACCCACAAGTTTGGGTACCACAAGACTTTTTGACTTGAAGGTCCCCCAATAGGTCCAACACACTTTAAGATAAAAAGGTACAAAAGCTGTCACTGGGGTAGTACCTTTTCAAAAGGTACAATTATGTACCATTTAGGTACTGATATGTACACTTTAGGTACTAATAGCTTTAAGGTACTTATATGCACCCTTTAGGGATATGTATATTTTGAAAAGCTACTGCAATAATGACAGCTTTTGTACCTTTTTTTTTACTGAGGGTGTACAATGTTCTAAGGACCCCCATATTGGACCCAAGATATTTCTTCTAATATTTCTGCTGTAATTAGGGGAATGCTGCCTGTTTTCAAACTTTTCATTAGCAGTGTTGATAAATTAACATTATAAAACGGATAGTTCCGGTCCTTGATTCTGATTGGTTGAGCCGCGTTCGAAGCTGTTGTAAATTACACTACAAACATACACCTTTGTTTACCTTCGCGTCGTACCTAACAACGCCCCTTAGCTGTTATAAATTCACTGTAAACCACGGCTTCTTGGGGCTTCTTGCTTTAGTAACTGACCATGATTCAGTTTGTGATTCCAGAGGTTTCGAGATTCTGATTTTGCACATTTTTCAATAAATTTTTTTAGCATTTGACGGGGAAAAAAAAGTATATAATAAAAAAAAAATTATTTATAAAATTTATATTTTTATTTAAATTTAAATTAATAAAATAATTGTCTTTTTTAAATTATGCTTGCTTTAGTAACTGACCATGATTCAGTTTGTGATTCCAGAGGTTTCGAGATTCTGATTTTGCACATTTTTCAATAAATTTTTTTAGCATTTGACGGGAAAAAAAAAGTATATAATAAAAAAAAAATTATTTATAAAATTTATATTTTTATTTAAATTTAAATTAATAAAATAATTGTCTTTTTTAAATTATGTAAACATTTTAAATGAAATAATTTTATGCATAATTTTATTTGACAAAAAAATATAATTCAAATGCTAAAAACACGAATATTCAAATAAAATGCAAAATATGTATTTGCATTACAGCTTCTGAATTAAATTATTTTTGTCTTAAAAATAATAATTTTGACGTCATCCTGTGGCCCCCTTAAAAGGTTTGCAGAGGCCCCCCAGTGGGCCCCGGCCCCCTGGTTGCAAACTATTGATCTAGACAGATGGCAGAGACTGCAGTCCGCTTCTCTCTCGCCTTTGTCTCAGGTTAATTAAATGAGACTGGAGAAGATGTGGGCTGCATCACAGCATGGACTCTGTGATCACTTAGTGCTTGCTGCCTGTGACATTTATACCCAGGCTGCCCTCTCTAACATCAGAAGCGTTTTAACCACACATGCCCATTCTTGTCACAGTGCACGTCATACTGTATTTATGCAGCATCATATTTATGCTGGGTAAATATGATGGTGTCACGAATTAAATCTGAATGTGAATGCATGATATGAGTTGTGATAATCGGATAGCATTAATCTGCTCCTCTCGATTGCAGATTTAGGCCTGTCCCAGCTCAGAGGCCAACAAGTAATATTATGCAATAATGCTGTACTTCAAACATAATCTGTTGAAATGATATAGAATTAATTGATTAATTCATTGTAATGAAATACTTGAATCATTTTAATGACAAAAACAAAACTGTATTTAGCGGCATTCTACATTATGTGCGCTGAGCACATTAT